TTGACATGAGATTTCATTGGTGGCTGGCTTCTCAAATACAGGATACTTGAAACCAAAATAAGAAGGTGAAGAGTTAAGGGAAAAGTGTTTGGTTTGGTTTGGTTTGGTTTTTCGAGACAGGGTTTCTCTGTGTAGCCCAGGCTGGCCTCGAACTCAGAAATCCGCCTGCCTCTGCCTCCCAAGTGCTGGGATTAAAGGCGTGCACCACCAGTGCCCGGCCTCTCTCTTCTCTCTCTCTTTTTTTTTTTTTTAATCTATAGGAATACACTATAGCTGTCTTCCAACACACCAGAAGAGGGCATCAGATCACATCACAGATGGTTGTGAGCTTCCATGTGGCCCCTGGGAATTGAACTCAGGACCTTTGGAAGAACAATTAGTGTTCTTAACCACTGAGCCATCGCTCCAGCCCAAAAGTTTTTTCTATGCAACAAAATATGTAAAATGCAAGGCTGTGAAGAAGGAAGGGCATTGGCATATTACTGAAAAGTAAAATACAAATAGTGGCTGAGTCTGAGCCATAGAGAAGGGAGACTACAGTTGTAAGGACAGGCCAGGTAACACTAGTTTACTTCAGTGGGACATGCTTTGGAGTTTGCTTTAGGTATATTCGGACCCATTTATTTTGTGTGTATGTTTATTCAAGTTTATGCGTGCCTGTGTTGATGTGAGTGTGCAGAGTGTAGAGGTCAGAGGACAACCTGTAGCAATCTGTTCTTTCTATGGGTTCAGGGGATGAAACACAGGCCATTAGACTTAGTGTCGGGTACCTTTACTCACTGAACTATTTTGCCAACCTTTCCCTTCCCCCATTTTTAAAGATAACATTCTATAGGACTGGATAGATCGCTCAGTGCTTAAGAACACTTAACTGTTCTTTCATAGGACTCAGTTCATTTCCCAGGACCCACATGGCAGCTTACAGCTATCTGCAACTCCAGGTCCAGTGGATCCAGTGCCCTCTTACGGCCTCTGCAAATATTAGGCACATACATACTATAAATATAGATTCAGGCAAAATGCCCACTGTACAAATAAAGTAATAAAATTTGTCAGGCCAAGTGGCATATGACTAATCCCAGCACTCATAAGGCAGGGGCAGGCAGGCTCTTGAGGTTTAGCCCAGCCTGGTCTACATAGTGAGTTCTGGGTCACCCAGAGCAACATAGCCTCTCCCAAATAAGTATAAATACATAAATAAATACTGTTTCTATTTGAACGGCTTGTTTGCCTATTTTATCTGTTTCTTCTTTCTCTTTTACTTTCATTTTAGTCCCATGAGCGTGTAAGCAAGCGTCTGCATCAGCGGTTCCAAGCTTGGGTAGATAAATGGACCAAGGAGCATGTGCCTCGGGAAATGGCAGCAGAGACCAGCAAGTGGCTCATGGGTGAGGGGCTAGAGGGCCTGGTACCCTGCACCACCACCTGTGACACAGAGACTCTGCACTTTGTGAGCATCAACAAGTATCGTGTCAAGTACGGCACAGTATTCAAAGCCCCTTAACTGCAGAGCCAGAGAAGGTAGCTCAGAGGTGTGTGTGTGTGTGTGTATGTGTGTGTCTGTGTGTATGTGTCTGTGTGTGAGGGCATGTGTACTCATGTACACCGAAGAATCAAGGAAGATGCCTTTCAAGCCACCAGTGCAACCAGGCACCAAGCAGGACACACGGAAGGAATGGGAATGGATACCTTAGGAAGCTGGAACTGGCACTTTCCCAAGGGGACTATCCAAACTCGACAGGGAATGAAGTCCATGCAAGCACAGAGACAGGCAGCTTGCTTGCACACACCAGCAGAGCTCAACTACAACTTCCTATGACCTGAGCAACCAGATGCTGCCCCATTTGGATGGATGGAGGTGCATCTTGTTACTGCTCCTCTTCCCACCTCCAAAAAAGATGGAGGTGGGGGGGAGACTGGATTTGATGATACCCCCACTTGAGCACATCTAAGATCTCTGTGAAATTTTATCTGAGACTTGTTTGGCTTTGGAATTGATAACTTACGGATTTGGTTTCTGAGTCCTTGAAGCTCACCTCTTCTTGTTCTCAGCCTCAACAAATTCCAGTCAGTCCTCCTTTTCAGCTCCCATGGGACTGTTTTGTACCTGCTCCTTTACTAGTCTGCCCTAGTGCCAGCCACCAGCTTCTCTCTCACTCACACATACACACACACACAACACACACTTAACTTGGTTTTTCTTTTTTTGTAAATAATGTACATACTGTCAATTTTTTATTAAAGAACTATGCTTTGATGTGCTAGCATAACTGTTCTAGCTTCTTGTGTACCATAGTGCTGTGTGGCTTCAGATTTAGTACCTATAAACAGCACAGTGCTGTGTGGCTTCAGATTTAGTACTATAAACAGCACAGTGCTGTGTGGCTTCAGATTTAGTACTATAAACAGATGTACAAGACATTTATTATACTTTTTACCAAAGGGAAATTCCATTGTAGTACTTTTGTGTAAAACTTGTCTTTCCCAACAACTTATTTTCTTTTTCCTTTTTCTTAATGTAAATAAAGCTTGGTTCTTAAGGAAATAGTAACCTAAGTCCCTTGTCCTCCCCAAAGAGCTGCTGTAAAGTTGGGACTGACTTTAATTTCTTCTCCAGGTTACAAATCGGATTTTGCTTTAAATAAGTACTTGTAATTGTCAAATTAACATACCAAAATTGAGGCCAGCAAGATGGCTCCATAGGTTTTAAAAAAAAAAAAAGTGTGTGTCCGTCAGCCTGATAAGTCTGCCCTCTGGATACAGTAGAAGAAGCAGGAGCTGACTCCTTGCAGCCTGTGCCCTGTGGCACCTGAGTGCCCGTACTCTTGTGTTCATGCACAGGCATACCATACCAAGAGTTTTATTTCCCTCTCAAATTTTTAATTTTCCTTATTGGGAATAAGGCAGCAATTCAAGATACCAAGCCAGAGTGTCAAGTATATTTGTAGAAATTGGAAGGGAATGCATTTTACATTGCTTAGCAACACAACAGCAATGCTTTTTAAAATTGTAGTGGCGTGGGCCTTTAATCTCAGAAGGAAGAAGCAGATCCCTGAGTTCAGGGCTAGACTGGTCTACATAACTCCAGGATAACCAGGGCCATAGAGAGACCTTGTCTCAAAAAGTTAAAATTAATTTTTTCCAATGTATTTGTATGTGTGGACATAGGCACCAAAGTGCAAGTCAGAACAGCTTAGAGTCAGTTCTAGGAATTGAACTTGAGCTGTCAGGCTTGACTGCAAGTGCATTTGGGCCGTTACTCTCACCCAGCTCACTAGACTCCACTCCTTAAAAGTTACATTTAAACGTGAACAGGGGGTCTTCAAATGTGGTTGGCCTGGACTAACTAGCCGGCATAGAACTCGGCAGCCGTCACCTAGTCAGTTATAACCAGGTATGCTATCCTCCAGTTAAAAATCCTCAGCACTGGGGTCAGTGAGATGGTTCAGCTGGGATAAGGTTCTTGCAACTAAACATGAAGACCTGAGTCTGAGCCCCGGGCCTTACATGCCCCACCCCCAACCAAATAAATGGTTATGTTTTTTAAATCCCCAACACCACCATAAAGAATTTGACTTCTAGGTTTTCAAAATACAAAGTGGCCCTTTTTTAATTTGACAGAGGGTCACACTATAGTCCAGGCTGCTGTAAAACTCCGGAGTCTTGCCTCAGACTCCCAAATTCTGGGAATACAGGTGTGTGTGTGTGTTACCATATCCTGCTTTTTTAGGGTGTTTTTGTCATAGGAGGGCAAGAAAACTTTTGAAGGTAATCAAAAGCCTAACGGAAAAGCACTGTAGGACAATGGCTGAGGCAGCATGGCAGGAAGAAAGTCTGCCTTCCTCAGTCCACCTCTTCCCCTCTATTTCCTCAAGACTGCTGGCCTAGAAGGATGGAGAGCATGGGCCTGACCAGCAGCACTGGGCAGTTGCTACCTATGTACTGTGTACAGCACCTCCCTGCAGATCAGGATAGGATTTCAGGGCCCTTTTAGGAGAATGAGTCCTTGTGACCAATATAAAACAAGGGACTCTGCTCAAGTTTTCACAAGTTATTGACATTGTATATGTCTTTTTTGGTTTTTCGAGACAGGGTTTCTCTGTGTAGCCCTGGCTGTCCTGGAACTCACTCTGTAGACCAGGCTGGCCTCGAACTCAGAAATCCTCCTGCCTCTGCCTCCCAAGTTCTGGGATTAAAGGCGTGCGCCACCACTGCCCAGCCGACATTGATCTTATTTGATCATTTTTCTGGGTGGGTAACCTTCATTTGGAATGTAAACCTGGTTATCTCCATTAAAGCAGGCTAGTTAGATTCCACCTGTATTTTTTTTTTCTCCCAGACTCCTGCAAACGTTAAAGCTGGAGGTTGGCTCTTGGCATTTAAGCTTCCTTGCATTTGTTGACCTATTGCGTCAGGTCAAAATTCCGGACATTTGGGTACTAGGCAACGGTGATGCATTATGTGCGTAATGGAGGATTGCTGCCGTGCAAAGCCCCTTTTCTATATTCCTGAAAACATCCGAGGCAGCCTTGCGCTTTAAGTGAAGAAAATGGAAAACTAAACCTTTTCCGTGCCCTTCCAGGGGTGCCCTTCCATGGGGTTCCCTCCACATCCATCGCCCTTCCTTCAGAACGCTAAGTAGCCCAGGCTGTGCTTAAAGTTGCTACGTTGCCGCAGATTACTTCAATCTACACTTCCTTTTCGGCGGAGTAGGGCTTTGTGCATCCTAGGCAAGCACTCTCCTTACTGAACCGCATCGCCAGCTCAAACTTACCCTTGTATTTAAGAATAATTTACCCAGCTGTCTGACAGCTAGGATGAGGTGAGAAGTGCGAAGGCGCAGCTTCCGGGTTTCACGGGGAAGGCTCCCCAAAGCCAGCCTCTTGCAAAAGCCGTGGTGTCCCAAGAAAAGCTGCTCGGGTCTGTGAGCTGGTTGAATGCCGGAACCTTTGGTTCCAAGCGGTGCAACGAGCCGGCAGCACCAAGGATCTTCCGGGGAGGCAAGGGACATCGCCATGGCGGCAGCGCCGTTCTTGAAGCACTGGCGCACCACTTTCGAGCGGGTGGAGAAGTTCGTGTCCCCGATCTACTTCACCGACTGTAACCTTCGCGGCAGGTGTGGCCCCTGGCCTGCGGGGCTCGCAGACCACATCCGCGCGCTCTTCCCTTCCCTTCCGGAGGGAAACCCAGGCTTGTGGCCACCCGGGCCGCGGAACAAAGTTCCCGCCACAGACAGGACAGGGGCTGGGGAGCAAACCGTAGAGGTTGGTCTGTGCTGCTGAGCTGCCAGGCAGTCCTCGGGGCGTTAGGCCAAGGGAGGGCGTTTTCCCAGCCATCGGCTGGCTCACGGGTGGAACAGGGGTGACTTCGAGCACGCGCCCATCAGCTCCTCCTGCCCAGGCTCTTCGGGGACAGCTGCCCGGTGACACTCTCCAGCTTCCTGACGCCAGAGAGGCTTCCCTATGAGAAGGCGGTGCAGCAGAACTTCAGCCCTGCACAGGTCGGCGACAGCTTCGGACCCACGTGGGTAACGCCCAGTTTGGCGAAGCTCCGCCCCACGACCACACGCCCAAAGGCCACTCATCTTGGGCCCTAGTCTGCTATATGGCAGAGAGTCGCGCCCTCTGCTGGAAGAATCGCCTTTATCCTTTGCTGTCTTCACTTGAGTATTTTCATCCTTGCTGCCCTTTCCCCTTTCCCTTTATTCTTCACCCATTTCTCTGATGCTGCACATGCATGGAGAAAATCTTAAGGCCCTGCTGACATTTAATTGAAGGAACTATGTTAGAAGAGGGTTTCCACTCCTAGGCCCATCAGAACGACTCTCTTACAGATGGTGGACCTGCTGGTTTCGAGTAGAACTGGTCATCCCTGACGTTTGGGTGGGCCAGGAAGTTCATCTTTGCTGGGAAAGCGATGGAGAAAGCCTTGTCTGGCGTGATGGGGAACCTGTCCAGGTGAGGTGTCCTCCCCTAGAGCCAGATACAACCACAGATTAGCCTGGTTTGGGGAGAAGCCACAGCTGAATGACTGACTGGGTCTCCAGAGTGGTTTCATGAATTCAGAACTGAAGAGATTGCCATTTGGACACCAGTGTTATAGCCCCCCACCCCACACCCCAGTTTTCATAAACTAGTTTTATTGCGTATAATACATATGTATTGGGGGAAACTTCAAATCACTCTAGAATAAATATAAGGTTATCTTCCCATGGATAATGAATTTCTTTTAACTGCACACCTCCATTCCCCAGATATTAAATATTAAATGTCATACCAGGTTTAATCTTTGTAATCCTAATTCTTAGATTTCCTAAGAAATCTCTGTCTTAGTTTTTTATGTCCATTTAAATCTAAGATTAAAAAACTAAGACAGAGATTTCTTCGGTGATACATACAGCTTCCATTTCGAAGTCTGGGGTGAGGACTGTCCTAAAAGAAGTCAGAGCCCTATTCAATCTTCCTCTCTTCACTGTCTAAGTATATATGTCTCTTGACACCCACCTAACTGAACACGGAGGATGATCCAATCTATCTTAAATTCCTTGAACTTCTTTTTTAATTAACAGAACCCGGAACCTCCACAAATTCTAGACAAATGTTCTCACCACTGAGCTAATCCATCCCCTGCCTCCTGTTTAATTTGAGAAAGGGTCTGGTTGAGTTGTCTCTGCTAGTAGCTTTGTACTTGTTATCCTCCACCATGGACCTCCCAAGTAGCTAGAATTATAGACCTGTATCAATATATAGGACTCGTTCCATGAGATTTCTTTTTATATATTATGGGTAGAAAGGCCACCAGAAGCTACTTTAGGCCTTCTAATCCCTGCCCACGATCCTCCCCATAAGACCATCTGTAGGGACCTTGAAGTTGGCCCAAGACACCCCCCAAACCAAGTTCTCAGCACAAATGAAATTGATTTCTCTCAGAGGGACAGAGGGCAGAGAATAAGAGACAAAGAAAGGAGACAGAGGACAAGGGAGAAGGGGAGGGGAACAAGGGAGAAGGGAAAGAGGTAGTTGTCCCAGAGGACAACGGACTAAGAAAATGGCAGTTTATTAAACTATAGGAGAAAGCCTATATTGGAATGAGGTGGTCAACCTAATGCAGAGGAAGTGGCCAAATAAGGGGATAGACCCTGGTGGCCAGCTGTAGGGATGTAGTCTAACAGGTTAGCAAGGCAGAGGGAAGTGGGGAGAAGGGCAAGAGCTGCCAAAGCCATGCTTGCCACGCTCCAGCTGGCCAGAGTTCCTTCACCACTGCTAGCAAACATTAGCTGTGTGCTGGTCACCTATGGGTGGAGCACTTGCTCCCGAGGGTTCCTGATTACTTTATCCCAGCCTTTCCTGGTATAGAGGACTCAGGGCTGGTCAACTGGATGGCAGAGCCTGGCCCCTGTTGGCTTTACTCGTCGTTAGATCTCAAGCCCTGCCTCTCTTCTCTACCAGGGTTTGACCAAAGAGGGTGAAAAGACCAGTTATATCTTGAGCGAGAGGCTACGAGCAGCAGACCCTCGGAGGTGAGCATTTACTTACAAGGACATCTACACATAAATTAAATCTTAATATTTCCTTTCTCACGGTAAATAGAAAAGAACATGGGGTAGAGTTCCTCCTCTTCCCCTTCCTCCAGGGATGACCGTTCTTCTCAGCTCCATCTTCATAGTCTCGAGATGTCTTTCAGCATAAGCACCTTTTACTAGATAAAAAGTATTTCTCTGATATTTTGCACCCTACCTTTCACATTCCATCATTTTCATATTGAGGGAGCATCTGTGTTATACCATGAAAAGCTCAGAGACTGGGTTGGCCATTTGTTGGTGGTGGTATTATTGTTGTTTATTTGTTGTTTTGTTTGAAACAGGGTCCCATTCTATAGGCCCTGGCTGCCCTAGAACTCACTCTGTAGACCATGTTGGCCTTGAACTCAGAGATCTACTTGCTTTCTTCATCCCAAATGCTAGGATTAAACTTGGGTGCCACATGCATGATTATTGCATCTTTTATTTTATGTACATTTTTTTTCTGGTTTTCTTTGGTTTGGTTTGGTTTTTTGAGACAAGGTTTCTCTGTGTAGCCCTGGATGTCCTGAAACTTGCTCTGTAGACCAGAGCCTCAGACTCATAGACCCATCTGCCTCTGTCCTGCCTCTCAAGTGTTAGGATTAGAGGCCTCTACCACCACGGCCCAGTGTTAACAGTACATTGTTTCAGATTCCTCCAAACACTGGGAATATGGTAAGGTGGCCTTTGAGGGGCAGATGGAAATATTCATAAAATAATTAAACTGCTGAAGATTCTGGAAGAATACACTGAGGACCCCATATAGGAATTACCAGATTAGGAGATCTGGTGTCAGAAAGGCTTCCCTAGTGCTGCCGAGTTTAGCTCCAGCAGAGGAACCTGCTGCCCAGGCATGGCCTCCAGGGACTGGTATACTGTTAGCTAGTGGAGCTTGGGACTGAAAGTCAGCCTTGGAAGAGCTGAACATGTTTGCTATGCAGCAAGGGCTTTGAGACCAAGAGTACTTTGTACAGACGGCTTTGGAAATATGAAGCTAAACAGCGGTATAGGAATCCAAACTTAACCATAGCAGAACACTCCTCAGCGGGACACAGGATTAAACTGGTATTTCTACTGTGATCCTCCCGCACATACGTGACATCCCATGGGTCCCTCGGGGAAGTGGATTCTGGGAGTAAATGAGGGGGGATCAACTGAATGCCTCCTACTTGTACTCTTCTCAAGCTCCCAGAATCTTCTGTCAGTCCACCGGCCTGAGACTGCCTCTCTCTATTTATAGCTTGACTCTCTATGTGGAAGTAGCCTGTAATGGGCTTCTGGGGGCCGGGAAGGGAAGCATGATCGCAGCCCCTGACCCTGAGAGGATGTTCCAGCTGAGCCAGGCTAAGCTGGCTGTGTTCCACCGAGACGTCCACGATCTCCTGGTGGACCTGGAGCTGTTGCTGGGTGTGGCCAAGGTACTGGAGCCCCACCCCCGTCCAGAGCCCCGCTCCCGGCACATCTTTTCTTGGGTCAGATCACTGGAACTCTGGGAATCCAGAGTTGGAGTGGAATTTTCCTTTGTAAACAGGGATGGAATTGAGTTGGGGCACCGACAAGAGTTAGAAGTGGGGAACCTTGCTGAGAGCCCTTGAGAGACCAGCTGGAGCCTTGTTCTATAGTAGTGCTTGAGGAGTCTTTTACAGTACGGAACCCTGATGCAGGGCCTCGGGGAGGACAACCAGCGCAGCTTCCAGGCCCTGTACACGGCCAACCAGATGGTGAACATATGTGACCCGGCTCAGCCCGAGACTTACCCAGCAGCCAAAGCCCTGGCCTCCAAGTTCTTTGGCCAACATGGAGGTGAAAGCCAGCATACCATCCATGCCATGGGGCACTGTCACATCGATACAGGTAAGGCACCACTGTTTGTTAGGGTGCCAGTTGTCCTTAAAGCCTTGGTTGTGGCTGAAATATTATCCTTGGCCTTCTTGAACCTTATTTTTTTCCCTGGTGTAAAATGAATCAGGGATATTGGATCATGGGCTCTGTTGGTTGTGGCTTGCTCCTTCTTCCAAGGAAAACTGATAGCTCCTGAGGCCCTGTGGCAGACACTGGATAGGTAGCATTGTGAAGGCTGAGGCCAGGTGTGGTGATGCTGTGTATGAGACCTGGGGCCAGAAGAGGTATTTCACCCAGCTAGGTTAGGGATTCCGAAGTTTCCTAGCAACGTGGCATTTGATTTAAGCGACAATGAAGAGCTGAGTGACCAAGCACAGGGACCAGGTCAAGTGTTGAGCTTTGAACTTGAGTTTGTAGTGTTCTTGGGAGTGTTGGGTTCTTTGTTTGCTCAGTGTTACCATGTTAAGTCCAGGTCTTTGCTGTGTAGCACTGGTAGGGTTTGAGCCGATAGCAGTCCTCCAGTTCGGCTTCCTGAATGCTAGATTACAGATGTGAGCCGCTACACCCCAAAATGCTTGTTTTTAACAAGCTCCTTGCTGTACTGATTCAGACGCAGCTAAGGTTTCTTTTTCTTTTCTTTTCTTTTCTTTCTTTTGGTTTTTCAAGACAGGGTTTCTCTGTGTAGCCCTGGCTGGCCTGGAACTCACTTTGTAGACCAGGCTGGCCTCGAACTCAGAAGTCCGCTTGCCTCTGCCTCCCAAGTGCTGGGATTAATAAAGGCGTGCGCCACCACTGCCTGGTGCAGCTAAGGTTTCTAAAGGTGGAACAAGGGCTGATAAAGTCGGACCTGAGGCCTAGAGGTCAGGAATAACTGAGGTCATACAACTTGCCCAGATAAGCCCATGCTATGCCTCACTCTAGTACCTCTGCCTCTGGTGAATCCAAGCCTTAATATAAGGTTCGTCTAGGACTTGGTGCCTCTGTCCTGGAAGTTGATCCCAGTCCTTACCCAACCCGCTCCTCCTACCTTGCAGCAGGACATGAAGTAACAGTGCAATAGGGGTACCACATAGGTTTGCAGGGTAGACATAGACAGGAAGAGGGCTGGGCCGACCCTCTGGAGCCTTAGGCTGGGTCTGTCATGGTTTCGGTGCAGGGGAGGGCTGGTGATCTATAAAGAGCAGGAACCCTATTGTCTCTCCACTCTGTCCCACCCTCAGCCTGGCTTTGGCCCTACAAAGAGACAGTGAGGAAGTGTGCCCGGAGCTGGTCCACAGCTGTGAAGCTCATGGAACAGAACACTGACTTCATCTTTGCCTGCTCTCAGGTCAGAGGGCAACTGTACAGCAGGTTGGCCCAATGTGGGGACTTTAGAGGACAAGAGTGGTCCTTACCTTCAGCTACCACCAGATGCTTGACTGTGAGCTGTGTCCTTTTTGTTCCTGGCCCAGCTCCTACCCCATGTTCCCAACAGGCACAACAGCTCGAGTGGGTAAAGAACCAGTACCCCGGTCTGCACGCCCGGCTCCAGGAGTTTGCCTGCCGAGGACAGTTTGTGCCTGTGGGTGGCACCTGGGTAGAAATGGTAAGTGCCCGTTCCTACTCTCCTCTAGCAACTAGTCAGTTGGTCCTGAAATGAACAAGATGGACACTTCCTGGGGTTATAACCCTGTGTTAGAACACCCATTGCACCTTCACAACAGAGTGAAGTTGGCCCAGGGTCCTACCTGTGTCCAGTCCTGTGCTAACTCCAGCTGTCTTGCTGTCCCGTTCCCCTCACCCCAACAGGATGGGAACCTTCCCAGTGGAGAGGCCATGGTGAGGCAGTTCCTACAGGGCCAGAATTTCTTTCTGCAAGAGTTTGGGAAGATGTGCTCTGAGGTAGTCTGGGAGCTGGCACACCAGGCTATACACAGGGGCCACTGGGACCCGGTCCACATGCAGGGGGCTGAGGCTGAGGTGGCTCCACTGAGATCTGAGAGCCTTATCCCCGCAGTTCTGGCTGCCAGATACCTTTGGCTACTCAGCACAGCTCCCCCAGATCATGCAAGGCTGTGGCATCAAACGCTTCCTGACGCAGAAGCTGAGCTGGAACTTGGTCAACTCCTTCCCGGTAAGCAAGTCCCAGAGGTCACAGTTGCAGGGTCTGGATCCCACTTGGTCCGCTCACCCCTTTCCAGGCTCTTATGAGGACCGGGGCAAACCACCAAAACCCTATTCAGAGTGGATCCCCCACCTGGATCACAGCCGACATGTGCATGGTCAACATTGTCTTGGGCATGACTCTGTCTCCGCCCGCAGCACCATACCTTTCTCTGGGAGGGGCTGGATGGCTCCCGAGTGCTGGTACACTTCCCACCTGGAGACTCCTACGGAATGCAGGGCAGTGTGGAGGAGGTGAGGGGACACGCAATGCTGGGGATCTCAGAGAGGGCTGGGTGTCTTGTGCTAGGCTGACCTGTCCCTACCCATCCAGGTGTTGAAGACTGTGACCAACAACCGGGACAAGGGGCGGACCAACCATAGTGGCTTCCTCTTCGGCTTCGGGGACGGGGGTGGTGGCCCCACACAGACCATGCTGGACCGACTGAAGCGGCTGGGCAACACTGATGGGCTGCCCAGGTCAGGCCTGAGCCAACATCAGCCCTTGGCTCTCAAGCCACTTTGATGTAGCCCTGCCCTCTAGCCCTTGCCTTGAGCCTCTCATTGGTTATATGTGGAGCTTGTCTCACCCGACCTTGTATCTCTTAAATCCTGACCCATCAACCTTCCAA